GTGACAAATAGGGAGTTCAAAGGCGCAAGCCTATTTTTCCCTCAAATATGCTGACTGACTGACTGAATTGATAAGTAGACTAATGCGAAAGTGATGGCCCTCCTCAGATAACAGTAAATTTGATCAAGAAGTGTGCATTGAGTATATGACCAGGAGTTCCGTCATGAATAAAAGCGATCCAAGAGATTGGTCACAAGGTCAGAAGTGAGCATGGAAGAAGGGGGGTTGATACTCTCACAAGGCACCGATACTAAAAGTGCCATTCAATTTCGCAGCGATGTGCTCCTTATCAGAGATAGGAATCAGAGAGAGCACTCATGCAGATTGCCATTGTCACCTGAAGCTTATCTTGAAAGTGGAAAAATCTCCCCGCCTAATTACGATTAGGCTAGGAAATTTTATGGATAAAAATTGCATTATACACGCAGAGCAGGGATCTGTATATTCATGCCGAACTTCATGTTTAATGCAACAGGTTCGGGCGGATTGTCAGCACTTTATATGCATACAAACGATCACAATTTGGGTAAACATTTCTTGATTGAAACACGTAGTTTGATTTTCATGTTACCTTTTGTTAACGGATCGTTTCGCATAGTCTATGATACTTTCGCCGCGGCTGCATTCATAAAATGAAATATACAGGCGTAAAATTTGCTATAAGAGCATGTAACGGCCCATGGAGTTTTATGCGTTGTATAATAGCCCCTATAACAGATAGTTCATACAATTATTCCATCCTTTTTTGTGCGCAATGTTACGATTTATTGACGGGATATCGAAAATTAGTGCTTAACTCTCTATAAACTGGATAAAATTAAATGCGTTAAGGTAGTTATTCATACCGGAAGCATCCTCTATCTTAACAATTGCTAGCCGAACACTAGGTTCTGAAAATTAGAAGAATCTTATCTTAAGTTTCAGCTTTTTGGGATTTTAAAATACATTATCTCAAACGTTTTAATCGTCCAACTTGCGTGTTTTTAGCGTCGGGCGGGGATTTTAAATTACCTAGGCAATGTGTGATATTTTTGATGCTGCAATAAAAGGAGACATTCAAAGCCTTCAGCAGTTTATAAATTCTGGAGTGCCAATAGATTCGACCGATAATTGCCAACGGACAGCACTTCATCATGCAGTTTGCTCCGGAGCTCTTGAGGTGATGAAATTTAAGTGCAAAATTTACCTTCATTTATTAAGTCCGTTCAATGGCTTTTGTGGAAAGGAGCCGATGCAAATTCTACCGGTCTAAAAGGGTGGACCCCATTGCATTTTGCAGCGGTTGGAGGGCACAATAAATGTGCAGAAGCACTAATATCGAGACGGGCAGATCCTAATATCAAAGACGGCAATGGAAATATTCCTGGACATTTGGCGGCTATTCACGGCAATACAATGACACTTGATGAGCTACTTAAGTCAGATATGGTACGGTTTAATCTTTAGGGATCATTTTTGGCTTCAAACACTGTACTTTTAATGCCGATAAGCGTATATTCTTCTACATGACAGGAAATTTAATGTAAGCCTCGCCTGACGATACA